GGCAGCAGGCATTAATTATAAGGTAAATTGCCATTTATCCATCTTTGTTTACAGTCCATAGTCATTCGGTGTAGTCATTCAATAACCATGTTAACGAAATAACTAAATAATAATATAACGAATATCTACCTTTATCAATACCTACTTTTTATCCAATTTTGAGCCAAATTAAACGAGCCGTTTCTGAAATATTGGCATATCTAAGTGCTGAATGGAATTTGTAAAATTTATATTCCATAAAATTTATATGGGACCATCTAGATCCCAATCTGCACAATCACTAAAATATCATGAAAATTGGATAAATGGTAGGAGGTGATATTCCCGTTCCATCGATTTCACTACAGACAGACAGCCAAACTGACGCTGAACCAAATTTGATCCTGATATTTGAAACGGAAAATGCGAGTGAAAATTTTAGATTCTGAACACAATTTTTTCTTTTAACTCTTGCACGAATATAAAGCTTTTCTATCTTCGGCAGCGAGGAAGCAAAATAAAAAAAATTTCTCACGTTTTTCGCAATGGATTTCCTCTTCCGATCCTCAAGTTCATTTAAGCAGTTCATTTAGTTAGAAAGAATAGAAGATGTTTGAAAGAAATAGGCGTCGGTATTGATGAAGATCTAACATTATTATAGAGGAAAGAAAAACAAAATACGCTATTTAAAATGACATTCAGACATTGATAATGGAAACATATTATTGAATATATATTTGCGATCCATCCATTATCACCAACATTTCACTAAATTATTGATATTAAGTGAGTCGTTGAAGTTCTGTATTTGCAAGCTTGCAATTTATGTGCACCCTATTATTCAAATCTAAATCGATAAAATACCATCTTAAAATTGACATTAGCAAGATTTAATTTCCATATTTAGGAAAATCTCTCAAGATCCTAATTTGAATATCAGCCTTATTCATGAGGTGAAAATATGGGCTATGGCTATACTCTTATCCGGGATTTTCCCGTCTTTACACAGCATGTCTATTCTCAGGGCCACGTTTAGTTGGTTAGTTATCCTATTTATTCAGTAAAGCTCTTTTATGACTCAGTGGGAGTTATATTTGACCCTAATAGATTCTATTCTTTTTATTTCATGGTTTACACTAATGAATTTACTAGTTATTTAATGGTCATTTCGCATTAGTATTTTTGTCTTCATGGGAGGTTTAAAAAAGAAGCAGGAAAAGCAACGTTAATATTTTTGAAAATTTATTTAATTTTTACTGATCAGCAGGAGTTGTAGGCGATAGAAAGATTTATTGGAAGTTTCGTGGAATCGAGACGTAATCGCACTGTTCTGTAGTTAAAAAAATCTTATGTTTCTTTATAGTAGTTGCTCCAAAATTAGAAATGCTACAAAGATGTAATGAAACATGCAGGCAAATATGTCCAAAACTGGATTACTAGAAGATAACACACAAGGAGTTACTGACAGAAAAATGTTAAGATCAAAAGAATGTTTTTCTTGAAATTCTGTATACAACAATATTGTTTTTCACATATAGCTCTAAATATTAAATAATTTATTTCCTATATTTCTATCTAATGAAGTAGATAGAGAATATTTTGAATCAATAAAGAGTGACTACAACAATCAAACTTGTGTTACATAATTATTATATTACCTAATTATTATATATATAGACAACTAATTATTATAATTATTAGTTATACAATTCATCTTGAAAATACTATCCTGATACGTTGGGTCATTTAAGAAAATTGATCAAGAATTACTTTTCCTCATAACTTTGTGAATTTTGTTTTCAGACATTTTTGACAGCTTAAGGAAAACTTGAAAAATGAAAGAAGCATATTTTTTTTTCAGAAAAACCTTCCATTGTTGGAATATTTTTCTAAATTACTGTACGTATACAAATAAATTTTATTCTATTGTTTCATAATTGTGAATAAATTTATTAAATATGTATTTCGATTAAAAAATATTTTGTATTATGAAATTTTTAAAATTCAGAGACAAAATAAAACAAATTTAACTTAAATTAGACTAAGATTACAGCCGAACAAGCAGTTGCTTATTTAGGAACGAAGTGTTAAATGACGGAACAAATATAAAGAATCCAAAACAGAATGGTTCAGGCTTTTTTTTAAACACATTCGGCAGTTTTATATTTTATTAAAAATCACTTAATATTTACTCAATATCAAATATTGATAGCCTTTTCGTACAACTATGTTACAACTTGTAGGCCTCCCCTAATTAAGAGGGTATTGGTCCAACTTCCCGCGAGGACCAGCCGTTTGGGGAAGGGATATATATTTAATATTCGAATAATATCAAATATATATATATATATATATATATATATATATATATATATATATATACATTTTTTTATATTTATTTATTATTATTAATTTTAAATGCTTTATATTAATTTCTCTATTGCATTCACATATTGTATGAGTGAGCACTTACAACCCTAATAATTGTTCCCCTTCAATGAGGCAGATTGTATTATTATTCAATAAGTATATTACTAATAAAAAAAAAAGAAAATTATGGAATTTCATATTAATAATTATTACTGAGCGCTGGTGTAATATACGGCACATTAATGTAAATTAACCAAAATGTAAAAGTTTAACCATCGACGCAGATCCTGTCCAATAGTCCATTTTAATTCCACACAGCTTCCTTTTTCGGACACAGTACAGTATATTTGATTTATTTTAGATTAACGTGAAACCCTCACACTAGACTGAAAAGACAAGAACATAACCAACGATACGGCAAACTATTCAGACTATTAGAAAATCTTAACTATCTATTTACAACAAATTACTGATCTACAAGGAAATCCTGAAACCTATTTGGACCTGCAGACTAGAACAGTGGCGGATTGCAAAATTTTCTTACATCCAACATATCCAAACCTTTCTTTCCAAAGTTCTTCGAACAATAGTCGATGCTTCATCCTACTAAACCCTTCTCCATGACCCTATTATTCCATTTATTCTTGATCTTATCCCAGACAAATTTTCCAAATTTCACCAGAACCTTACACATCATCCAAATCCCAAAGCACAATCCTTATCATACACCTTAAATATTACCAAGCAACCTTAAATACCAAACACAATTCCTACAATCCCCTGGTAGGTTCCTCCGAGACCTTTTGTAAATATGCATATAATGCAAGACTCGTCTCGGTATCGCATTTGGGCAACACTAGTTAGCCTTGAGTATCCAATTCGTAGTTTTGCTTTTATTCTTTTCAACTGGAGGTGTAAACAATCTGCAACTACAGAGGGCTGCATATATGATCGGAACAGTGAGATCAAGATTTCCTATCGCAGGTGATGAAGCTTAAACGGTAACTGAAAAACTATACATTTTAGGGATTTAATAGGCAATTACATAATCTTAAAATTGTCAGAGTTATCCTGTAATAAATATAAATAAAAAATTATGAAAGTACTTTTCGAAAAACGTCCGTGTAAAAATTATAATTAATATTTTATAACAATTCTTCGAAAACTATATTAGAAGCAATAATATTTAAATTACAATGGGCTGTATCTTTGTAAATAATTGTCCAATTTCCCTGTTTTTTTTCCCGTCTAGTAGGGAATTTAGCAACTTTTCAAATAATAACGGGTTTTAAATCAAGAAAAAAATGTATACTTTTTAAGCAATCAGCAAATAAATTTTCTTTTCATTCACATTTTTTTTTTATTGAAATTTCGGATGAATGTTACTATGATTCGTCACTGCTCCATTTAATTGCCTTCTACATTCTACAAAATAAATCGCACCTATGAGCCAGAAAAGGGATCGTTACTGCAAACAACTGTCTTATTATATAATAAAGATAGATAGTTGTGTTGAGGTAGCAACTGGTATTACTTTTCATCATAATTTTTTCTCTGGAATTTACTAAAACCTTCATAACTCCTCAGGATTTTCCCTTAAATCAGTGCGTGTATTAGAAAGCCGAATAATTTCTCTTGAAAGCCGTATAAGTAACTTTCAGATACAATACCTCCATAAGGTACAAATAAATAAAAACTCCTAATACGTTTTTATTTTATATCTCAAGTCTTAAAATAATTAAGGGGGTCCGGTTTGTATCATTTCGTGTAGTTTATGTGATCCTAAATTCCTGCTGAATTTCGTGTGGATATTAAAGTTACCATACTTGTTGTGATTTGAAAAAAAAACTCAAGGGTTCCCATTTATAGGAGAAAATTTTTATTTTTCGATTGCCATGAGAATTCGTATTTGAGGGTTCTTCGAGATGCGAAATACAAATGTCGACTCTGTCCCTCCTTAAAAACATATTTGAACCCACTTTGTTCCTAGGGTCGGTTCAAATTGTTTCTAATTTACAAATTTCTAATCGATTTTCATGATTTATTTTCTTCGTTTTGTAGGAAATTTAGCAAATTTTCAACTATTAATGGGTCGAATCAAGAAAAAATATATAATTTTTAAGTACTTCGCAAATAAATTTTCTTTTCATTCATAAATTTTTTCTTTTAATTCTTGAAATTTCGGGTGGATGGTATTATGATTCGTCACTGCTCCATTTAATACCCTTTCGTTTGATACTTTATTCTACAAAATACATCATTCCTGAGAGTCGGAAAAGGGATCGTTATGGCAAAAAAACTGTCGTATTATATTATAAGATAGACTGTACATAAGCTGCTCTATATATATTACTAATGTGCCACAATGTAATATTACACAATAAAGAAATGTAATTAAAAAAAAAATAACGAGTTGACATTGAGTCCCCTCCTCCAACCCGATTTTATCCTAAGGAGGATCGGGTTTATCACTTAATTCGGAGTTTCAAACTCTTACAATATTTCTTTCATCTTTCATACATACTATTTGATTTAGTGTATATATGTATGCACACACATTTTTAAGTCATAAAAATAAAGTTGATTTTGGTATAAAAATAATACAGACAATCACATTTCTCAAAAATGAATGCTCTTGAGAAAAGTCTTACCTTCAAGGTTTCTCGCTTTGGATTCGTTGATGTATACAGCACATTGCAAAAATTCAGAATCATTTCGACTAAAGCTATCTTCCATCATCTGTAACATAAATAAATTAATTAGGTAAATTCGTCCGAATTATAAAAGGAATAATAAAATATAATAAGGAAAAAATATTGGCTTAATGTATGTATGTATATATATATATATATATATATATATATATATATATATATATATATATATATTATATATATATATATATATATATATATATATATATATATATATATATATATATATATGTATATATGTATATATATATATATATATATATATATATATATATATATATATATATATATATATATATATATATATATAATTCTGTTACAAGCAAAAATTTAATTTAATATTATAAAACTCCCTCCTAGATACCTTCTCATCATCAGCTCCTAACTCACTGAAAGACACTTCAAAATAAATCACAATAACGCCTATTTATCCTTGGTCCTATCCTTAACATATGTATATAACTGATATCCCGATCCATCCTAACACTATCATCATCACGTATGCCGATGACACATGTATCCTTTCAATTAATAACGATCCATCAATAGCATCCTAAACTCTTCAATCACACAAACCTTGAAGAATGGTGTCAAAACTGGAGAATTAAAATAAATTCCAATAAATCCATCAAATCACACTTATCCTTCGTCGTAAACCTATGACCTCCTGTCCTACAGTATTCTTTAATAACACCCCACTCATCTCTGTTGAACAAATCTGCTACCTAGGAGTCCACCTGAACAAACTTCTCACTTGGAATCCTCATACGAATCTGAAACGACAAGAAAATTTCATTTTCAATGTTACATTTTTAATTTTTTTTTATCTCTCCTTTAACTCAAAATCTGATAAGATTTAGTTGTATTAATATTACAAAATTTAACAATAGATAGATAGACAGATAGAAAGTAAGGTTTATTCTGCGACGATGTCCCTTATAAATAACAGATATGAACAAAAAAAAAAAAAAACTACATCTGGCCAAAAATTACATTAATCAATATTGAAGAATATATACAGTATCTTCAGTGAAATTATATAAAACAAGTAAAAATAACACCATTTTGAGAAAAAACAAAGTAAAAAAAAAAAACATTATTTAAATGAAAAGAAAACAAAATAAAATAAGCATGGGTTGATTTTTAAAATTAAAACTCAATAAATTTTAACAGCCATTCACCTCAGTCAAGATCGCAATATTTATTTTATTGTATAACGTCATTTTGGGATGTGAGAAGGAATTGGTAAAGATGATATTTAAATGAGGACAAGGAAGAGACATGGCGGATATCAGATGGCAAGGTATTCCAGAAGGCTGTGGATCGGGCAATAAAGGAATATTCAAACGTCTTAGTTCTATGGGAAGGGATATAAAGGTCGGAAACACGGGATCTTGTTTTCTGGGAGTGGACCATTTGGTTTAAACTGTAGGAGACTGTAGATATAGCAATATTGACGATTTTGCACCTTCTTGGGGGCTAATGCATAATTTTACGTATTTTGGGTTTTTATTGCACGATTTTTCACATTTTGAGTTTTTTGTAGCACTTCTTTCGGATTTTTACTGCTCGAAAATCCGGCTTCTAGTCATCAGTAGCGAAAAGTCATTACGCTTCTTAGTTTCAACAACTTTATACGAATAAATGAAAAAGAATACTGGATAAACTATACAGTAACAGAATTTATCGTTTGAGGCCGATTGCAAAGTATTCCACTACGATTCCAAAGTATGCTCCATATTTTTACTCTCATGGTTCAAAGTAGAAAACGACTCTTTGAGAGTTTGGTTATTACTAGACAGGGTACTAGTAGACAGGTCGCATCTGCATAAGCACATATCTGGTTACATGAATGTAGGACATTGCCGTGAAAGTTTAAATTGCTTACTACTTCATGTAGAGCTAGACTGAACAGTGTGGCAGATGTAGCCTTACCTTGCCGCACACCAGTTGCAATAAAGATAATTTATTACTGAGGTTACCTTGACAACCAGTAGCCCTCACTATTTTTAATAGACATTATAATTAATCTAATTAGCTTGTGGGAAATCTGATATTCTTATAATGCCTCAATCATACTCATTCGAGTCTAAGACTTCACGATAATCAATAAACAGTATGTGTAAATTTATTTTTTATTCCCCACACCTTTTAATGAGTTGAACTTGTACCGAAAATCCGGCTTCTAGTCATCAGTAGAAGCGAAAACCCATCAAGTTCCTTAGTTTCAACAACTTTATACGAATAAATGAAAAGGAATACTGGATAAACTGTAGAGTAACAGAATTTATCGTTTCAGGCCGATTGTAAAGTATTCCACTATGCACGGAATCGAACGGTGGTCATTCAATTATCCAACCTGCAAATACTTGAATGCTCTGGACTCATTTGGGCTTATGAGAGGATTTATTCTGGTGGAATGATTTCATTTTGAGAACAGACATTAATTCAACAATTAAAGCTAACGAGAAGATAGTCAGATCCGTCAGTTTCACCGAATCAAATGGAGTTTAATAGCAATAATAAGAGAGCGTGATTTCTGGTAGCAAGAGTGTGCCTAATATTTAACAGCAAATTATTATTGCATTTCTAGGTAATTATTTCAACAATATTTGTATTTTTTAACCTACACGAACTCAATTTTTATAGGTCCTTCGAAGCATCGTGTTTGATATTTTGAAGGAAATAAACATGTGATTATTTTTTATTTGGATGACAATTATCTTCTTATTTTTTTTAATTTCCACCATGATATTCCGCTAATTTAGTTCTGGTACTTTCGAAAAAAATAATTGCTACCGTAGATTCGTTGGGCATATAATTATTCAATTATCACGATTTGTTTGTTTGAAACTTTTTAAGACTTGACTTTTTTGCTCTCGATTTGAAATCTATTTAGGCGTCAGTACGACTTAGTTATCCGATAGATTATTGAAATTAAATCTGCTTGGTAAAGAAACTATCTTTAAAAAACATAAGTATTAAATGAAGAATTTAACAACCGAGGAAAAATAGTAACAGAAAGTCTTAGCGTTAAGAACACAATAAATTGTTGTCAACATGGGTACCTCTAAACCTAAAATTTTGGAAATATCCTTATCAAGGAATCGATATGTGCCAAGAACGTTTAGCGACCTTTGTAATGATGACATATTTCTGGTTATATAAAAAATTTAAATAATTTGATATAAAATAATAAACAATAATCGTGATCTATTTTTAGGAGACTTATAATAAGAAAGCTAAAAGAAACAAAAAACAGCCCGTGTGCTGGCACTTAACAAGAGAAATTTCATCCCAATCTCGAGATATTTTGAACTTAGCTGTAGGTTTATTTAAGTTTCTTTCCAGCTTTAGTATGCTGGAAAAGTAAACTTCATTAATTACTTTTTTTTTTAAATTTTTTTATTAGAAGATTTAACACGGTAGAAAATAGGCTTTCATCGATTTTCTAGAGTTAGGCAAAAACAACAATAGCGCAAGTTGCCGTTACTGATTGGAGTGGTGCTTGCATTTCTCTCCCCTCCAAAGATCTTCTACATAGTACAATAACAAAAAAAAAAAAAATCTACCAAGTAAAGTCTTGGTATCTTTGCTCTTCTCTGAGTAGCTTCCTCAACATTTTCATTGATTACCTTATTACCAATATTTTAAAGTCAAATATTCGGGAGAAGACGTTTCAGAAATACCGTAGCCCGTCTACATTCCCGGGTTTGATTTCTGCAAGTTTTTACCATCAGCTCAAACATTCATTGTAGCAATCTATCACTTTTTACATGTATTTAAATTCTTATTTTTAACACTTGTAAAATTGACTAAAATAGAATTATTTTAGTGTAAGTAATTTTGTTTGCAGCTAATTTTAACTTTAATATGAACAAATTATACCTACATCGTTTTTCGAATGTTTTCTATTTAAGTAACAAATAACAAATACAATTTTATCCGCCATTGCAGAATTTTATATATATTTTTTTCTGTTCTTTTAAAGACATTTAAATAATTAGTTTAGTTGTTTGGCAATAATAACTTCCAGTTGTTAACAATTCGAGTATATTTTTTTAACGTTACATGTTAACAGGTTAGTTTACGTTTAGGGACCTTTATTCCCATCTTCAGAACTGCAATTCCAATACTCTTGTGGATGCAAGGCTAAACATTTTTTAAGTTACAATATCGTGCTTGTTACATTACATATTTGTATTATGTTTGTTACAATAAATTTGTAATTACCTTAATTTTAATAATAATAATAATGTGCTCCATCGTCAATTTTCTAATTTATGTTCTAAAATTTATCATCTAGAGCAACATCCTCCTTTTGACCAATAATTGGGTTTCTGCCATAGTGAAAAATTGACCTTTGGATCTAACTGTTTTACCTGACTATTTTGATTGTTGTTGTTAGTGTTTATTTTATGTGTCTGTGATTTCACTTCTATTAAATTTTAATTTTGTTCAATATGTCTGTATAATGGGTTCCTGAATGTTTAGTGTCTGTTTTGTAGTTGACTGTTAGTCTGTTGTTTTTTGTAATTTGTATTGCTTCAAGTAATTTTCTATTGGTGTTTTTTGGTTCTGTGCCTATTATCTGTGGTTTGTTAAAGTTAAATTTATGCTGTAGTTTTATACTGTGATGTGCTAAGGCTGTTGTGTTTATGTTTTTTTGGATGTTTAAAGTTGGTGATGTGTTGTGAGATTCTTGTTCCTAATTGTTTGGATGCTTCACCAATGTAGATTTTGGGGCTGTTATTTTTCAATCCTTATTTGTTATTGTATCGATGATAAATTATAATAAACTCCAAAAGAAGTATAATTTGTTAAATTCTATCAGTCCCTGCGGAAATTGTGATTCTTCGTACCTACATCATCATACAAATTTTTTTATTTTTCATTCGTTTTTCATCTTGAATTTCGTCAACAGGTGACTCAAGTAAAGAAGTTCCATCAATTTTTTAACTATTTGGAGATAAGCTAAGAAGAAAAACGAGATGATTTTCCTACTTTTCATTTCAGAATATTTTAGGAAAGGA